GTTTTGGGACTTTCTCTCCAAGTATTGCTTCCAGCAACACTTCCAGCAATTTCAGTAATTCACAGCAGCGGCCATTGTCAATTTTAAGCCAGGTTAGTTTTATTTTGATTGTAACAAAAAATTTTGTTTCTTCGCGAATGCATTGCCTGCAATGCAAGTTGTGGCAATTTTTCGTCCCAAGTGCTATTTTATAAGCACGTACACCTTCTGGTCTCCATGATGACATTAATTCACATGAGTTTTCTAAAACTCATAGTGGAATGTTGTGGGAATGTTCTTGGTAAATGTCTACTCTGATGATCATATGATTCTCACGTTACTTTAAAAAATATGGGAAAATAACATAATCATAGGGACTTGGGGATGTACGTGCTAATAAAATCTAAAATGGGTGGTAACTAGCTAGACATCTATAGTGCAGATGTGCATCTGCAAAAAAGCCCGAAAACTACTTTGGGAACGCTCACAACAATGCATCTTTCTCATTTATAGGTAAGGAGAAGCAATTCGAGTTTCCAACAGGTTACTTTTATTTAGATTGTAAATAAAACTTCGGAACAAATTTCACAAAACCATCATTCATTATTACAGGTTAGCAGAAAAATATCCCAAGCTATTTTTATTATAAAAAACTACCCAAAGTTTTAAATCAACATAAAACTACAATGATGGCATCAACTGTACGATGCGGTAAGAAAAATGAAATACCGTTATCTATAACTTGGAAAAGGAGGGGTGAGATGAGAGAAGTAGACTCAAGTAGTTGTATAAACCAATTGATGACAAATGTCCGAAAAAGTCATATAATGTGAAAACGTTTTAGAGATGGTTGGGTGTGATAGTTTAATACACAAAATTTTATCTAATAAGTTGAGGTTCTTTTCTAAAAAATTGCTGACAGATCATAATAGTTTACTGAAATGCTTCTTATTGAGCACATTACAAAACTATGTGATAGCTTTCTGATTATTTCTTAGGAGTTGTAAATCAAACTAGCAATGTTTGTTTCTCTTTTACAGGAACGACGAAGCAATCAAAGTCCCCATGCACCATGGATGCCAGCCAGTGGTACTTAACGTTTAACGTTTTCTGTTGGATAAAATCTGGATAAGTAGGCAAAGAAAAAGAGAGGGAGTTGGTGTAAAAAAGATTGGGTTGCTATATTATGCATGTTGTAAGATTTTTTTTTCTGAGGTTTGGATATGTAAACAGTCTTTCTTGCACTTGACAGTTATCTCCTTAACAAAAGCTGACCCAAAATTTTCGTAGCATCAGTGTATCGATTTAGCATTTGTTAGTAGCACAGAAGAAAAGGCAGTGTCAGAAATCAACATCATGTGAAACTAGGAGCAGTAAATGTCAGTTTACATAGGACAGAAATATTTATGTATGGATTTTTGAATTTGTTAAAAAAAATACCCTTCATAGAGAAGATATGACGTTTCTCTATGTAGATAAATCGAAAGACTTAAAATAGCATCATCCATGCTATAAAGACATTAATTATTCTTTATGCTATCTATAGCAATAGAATTTATTATCATGTCGCTAGGTCATGCCTCGGTAATGAATGTAGTTTCTTACAGCAAAACTTATCATCTTTCATCTTTTTATAGAATTTTCACATAATTTGTCATCCAAATATGAAATAAGATTGCAAGCAAATCTTTAGAATAGTAGGATTAATTTATGAAACTTTAAAGAGCAGTTAATGCGGGGAGGAAATTACAGCTTTGCAACAAAAAATAAAAAGGGAAAAGGAGCTCAGAAATCTTACAGATGCAATCTACAACTTCCCATCAAAAGTTAGCATTACGAGCCAAGAAAAATTCCCTGCATCAAATTTCTAATCAAATCAAGATTTAGCAAGTTACCATCAGCTGAAGAAAACACAATGCGCTTCCAACTACACCAATATTGTTTCATCGCAAACGTGCTGTTAGAAACTATTGAAACATCAGTATATTGTTATAATAATATTTTAAACTAAAAATTGATGTTGCTCTGGACTTTAAAATATAGCCTTGTGATCTTATGCCATCTTACCCAACAGTTACCTGTGCAGTTGCTACAATAGACATCAGCAACAAAAGATGCCCAGAGGTTAAACAAATTTCTTCTGCTATCAAGCTGCCAAATCGTTTTGTCCAGAAAAATTTTAATGCAAGTATTTGGGCTATTGCTTCCGCTGCTAATATTGTTACATGAGACAACTTCAGTTCAGAATATTGCAGTAAACGAATGGCTCGAAAAAACTAGCAAAGATGGTAAAATAAACAATTTCACGTATTTAAAATGCTGACAGAATCCACAAGATATCAACAAAAGAAAAAAAATCATGCCTAAAATTTTTATTACTTGCGGCTTTCTTTTCATTTCCTTCCTGCATGGTTGCTGCCTCTGTCATAGCTGTTTCTTAGCAAAATCATTGTTAACATATAGATTGATCTACTGAAATCCAACTACTTATATGACACAAACTGTTTATATGAGGCAAACTATTTATCTCAAGTGGCTGTTCAGATTTGATATCTATCAGCCTCATTGTAGAAGTGTAAGAGGGAAAACCTGAGGGAAGCTTCTTCACAAATGAATCCACAAGATGAAATTTCTCCACTACTTGAGCCCTCCGCATCCGTATCTATCCTCTTACTTCAGTAGAATGTGTCCTTTATCTTGTTCTCTATATTGAACTGTTCTACTTCGTGTTTGGCGGTCTTGGACTACTGTCGTGATTATCCCATTGTTGTTGTTGCATTAATTGAATCCAGCAGAGAGCAAAATTTGTACTGCACCACATGGCAATCTTGAAAGTAGCATATAATTTTATTCATTAGAACTTATTTTAAAGTTTATAGGCAAACATTAATTATGTGGCTCAGCTTCTTAAAATAAAGCAAGAGAAAGAATACAGTAAAAGCACAAGCAGGCATAAAACGTACATTCTGCAGATAAAAGTTAGCTGAAGAATCCAGCAAAATTTTACTGTATTCTTCAGCAACAACAAGGTGGAGGTGGCAATGAGGCGTCTTGCTGTCTTCGGCATGGAAGTTAACAAGGGACAGCTGATCCCTGCCTGTTACATGTGGAGGAGCAATATGAGATCAAAGCTTACCCCCAACAAAATTTTCTTGTAATTTACGGCAATAGAGATGATAATGGGGAAAAGTAGATTTGATTGTGTGATGGGAATCAAATTTCTGGGTTTATTGTTGAGAAATAATTAGACTTGTTGATAAATGAAGAGAACGGACCTGGAGGTGGAGCTCGCCTGAAGCGCAGCTCGCCTGCGGGTGGAGGCGGAGCTCGCCTGAAGCGCTGGAGAGCGGAGAGCTCGCCTGCGGGTGGAAAACTGGATGAAGCTCGCATGCGGGCGTGGAGAGCTCGATTGGCGTGGAGCTCGCCTGACATGTGCGTGGAGCTCGCCTGATGGTTCGAGCTCGCCTGACGTGTGCCTGGCGTGGAGCTCACCTGATTCCCAGCACGTGACCTAGGGTTTCTCTATAGAAGATAACCCTGATCACAAGATTTCATTGAGCTTCATCTCGCGAATTTTTCAGAGGAGAAAATTCCTGTGGCAGCGGCTTGTCTCCAACGACGATTTCTCAAGACTTGCGGCGATATTTGAGAAAAGATTGAGCGGTGATTTTTAGAGTAAAAATCGCGCGGGTAATCGATCTTTGGACTGAGAGATCTTAAATTTGAGATCGTGTAATTTGTTATGGTTAAATAAGAAATTATTTGTGCGGCTCTGCGGACGCAGGCAAGTTTGTCGAACCACGTAAATATCGTTTATTGGCTATTGTTTGGGTTAGTTGTTTTCTCTCGAGGTGATTTAGCTTCCGCGGCTATGTGGGCGTCTTTCGTCCCAATAATTGATATCAGAGCCCTTTTATTCAGATTGGTGGTGATAGAATTTCTGATCTGAGTTGGTGCTTGGTTATTGTGTGGTGCACACAAGGTGTTTGCTGAAATTTCTAATGAAAAACGGATTCACTAAAACAAGTGGAGAATGTCTTCTACCAATAAAATAGTTAAAGTGAGAAAGTACGAGATCAAAAAGTTCAATGGGAAGAATGATTTTTTCCATTGGAGGACACATATGAAAAACTCGCTGATGTCGCAGAAATTGCACTGTGACGCCCATGTTTTCACACATGACTGTAGTCCAAGATGAACTCAGAGATGTCAAACCTGTCATGCAGCTACACTGTGCAACAACAGGTTTCACCATCACAGTAATATACTCTCTAGTGGAATAAAAAACAAGTGTAAGTACCAAACAGGCAAGATAATAGAAACAAATGCAATGAACATGATATAGAAAAAATATCCTAATAAATGTAATCATGTCTCAACTGAATAAATACTGAGTACAACTGAAGTCTGAAGTAAAAGTGAAGTATTTCAATATATAAGAGTCAACTGTAAGATAAACTAAGACACACAACTTTTACAAAATGAACTACAAATCTAATGACCAACTAAACCATAAATAAATGACTATGGAGAATCAACTACTAAATATAAGCGACGGCGACCATGCTGAAAGTCCGTCAACCTGCGGCTCTCCGAAACTCTGATTCGCTGCCTGAAAAGAAAGGAAAACAAAAAAGACAACAACAAGAGTGTCAGAGCGTTACAGCAAGATCATCTCCATCCGCCCCCAGGGGAATGGCTACTAAATGTGATGGATGCTCTATCTATTAAGCATAGTCTACCTATATTGTTTACCTTGTATTTAAGTGGGATCAATATTTAGAAATCCTCAACACGAGACGTAGTACGTCGAGCGAAATAATCCAAATAAGGAAACCCTCATGTATATACCATATGTCTCAAATTGGGGATAACTACATATCAATACCAAACTAAGAATAAACAATCTAAATAGAATCAATAATTAAAAACTTACAACACGAGACATAGTATGTCGAGCAAAATAATCCAAACAAGAAAACTCTCATGTATATACAATATGTCTCAAATTGTGAATCACTAATTATCAATTCCAAACTAAGAATAAAGGAAATACAATACAGGAAAGTAAAGTCATCATAATATTTGGTCAAAAATATCTTCCACTATCCCTTGGAAGATAACAGCATATAATCCCGCGTACTCACAAGAGTATAGTACCTCGGCCATATATAACTCAGCGATGAGTCATGTTCATATAGCGTCCGCCAAAGACTCGGGCTATCAGATAATTACTACAATGCAAATTCTCGTAAAGTTTATAATGCATCACACTATCGTGCGGGACAAACTACTAAATTGGCATCCTAAATATATACACGGCTCATTAGTCTCATCACATCTCTGTGTGGGACGGACTACCAAAATAAGTATCCTAGAAATACGGCTCACAAGACTCATCACATCATCGTGCCGGATGGACTACCAGATTATGTATCCTACAAATCGACTCAATGGCATGTACTAATGGTATATCGATGCACTATCCCAAGTAGTACTAAGCGGTGCCCATCAACGATATCCATGTATGTATATATGTATACTGTTTAAATACCTCATATCTCAAGTGTGATCGAAACCATACCTATAATAATCCTCTTTGGGATAACCGTGTGTATCCTACAACACTATACGTGTATTCACATGGTTGTACGTGTATCATCGTGCACCTCGAACCTCGTGTTCACGATTTAAATGTGCAAAAGAAATCATCGCAAACAAACAACAAAGACAATGGTCAATCGATCGCCCCTAGGTCGTAGGTCGACCGACGGCCCAAGTGCACAGAGTGCACCCGCATAAGACCACATCGGTCGACCGACGGCACTTGGTCGATTGACCGGCCAGAAGGGGTTTTGAAATCCTGGTGTTTTCACGTTCTGTGCTTTTGTTTTGAAACTTTACTCAAAAATATAATTGTGTTATCATGATACTTAGAACAAGATTAAAACTTCATAATTACTTAACAATGATTAACTTAAACATGCTTAAATCTCTTGAATTACACTAATTAGGGTTTAACATCCTAATTAACCAATAATTCTCAAATAAAGCGTGATTTATCAACATATAAATAAACATGGTTAGAACTAATCGTTGAACAGTTATGAATTAACGTACACATGTTCACATCACTTAGGTATCATAAACCTAGGGTTTGGACATCTTTAATTAGCAAGAAAACTCAATTAATTGTTAAACTAGAGTTTAAACATGATTTGAGAATGATTAACAAATTAAACACGAAATGAAATACTATCCTAATGATCATGATCATTAAACTAATAAAACAATG